TAGCAAATAGCAACCTCTACATAACAGTATTTCCCAGACCAGATTTACAGTTATTTCCAAGCTGTATTGCTTCAGTCAACACATTCTGCTGCTTTCTAGAGCTTTTTTGGAAAGTAAAATCTATTCACAAGGTTTTTCAAGCTTAGAGTTCACAGAAGTCAACTTTACTTTTTTCTTTAGCAAGGTCTGTTATTCAAAAGTAGGTGAGGAGAATGTAAGAGTAAAACATTTTGTTGCAACTGCCTCATCCAACTCCTGTTATGTTTAAGGTTCTTAAATGTCATTTCAAGTACTTTGAAAGACTATTATACTCCTCATATAGCACTATGGGCACAGTCTGACAAACTGGGGTTTTCTGGCAACAATGCCAGCTGGAACTGTCTGGAACCGCCTCTGCTCATTTCTGCTTTCACCTCACCATCTAAGCCCCCCTCACTACAACTGTTCATATGGCTGCATGACAAGCCATATGGTTCACTCTTGAGTTAACCCAGCAGGATGTTCCCCATTTTAAGAACTGGCTATTTTCAACTTGGATCATTTTCCCAATCTGGCCTCTTTCCTGATCATCTATACTGGCACAGATGATGAGACAGTGCCAAGACAGGAGCTTCTTAAACATTTTTCTTAGTGACAGTATTGGCTATCAAATTCTAGCCTAAAGTAGCAACACAAACTTTATACACTTGCACGCTGTCTTTATGGAAACTCTCTACCGGAACAGCAGTATTAACTGGAGAACAGGTGTAAACTACCCTATTATTCCATTAAAGCATTATTTAAAATCAAGTTTGAGATTAAAGCTAGTTGTTCTACAAAGTGGTGTGACCGGAACTCAAGTGATGCTAACATTCAAAGTAGTAACCAGGCGTGTTTTGATCAGCTGGTTTTGAGTCTAGAAGTAGGTCGTGTTGGTACATTATAACTTATCTCAAACCAGTGTTAATTTGGAATTGCAAAAAAGAAGACGACAGATTTGTTGACTCATATCCAAAATATCAGACACTAGAGATCCTATCAAAGAAACCAAGATAAGTTGATAAAAACATTAAGCTGAAAAAATATTCTACATGTGGAAACAGATACTGTCAAACTGAACTGTATTAACCAATGGGTTTTACGTGGTGTTTTTTTGTTAAAAAAAAAAAAAAAAAAGAAAAAAGGACATGGGAGTGAAAGACTAAGGAAAAAATCCTTAACAAAACTCTCTTCTGGTTGTGCAAACGGAATAGGCATTCCCCTATCCTTGAAGATTTTAACTTATCCTAGAAATTCTATTCTTTGCTTCAGTTATCCAAAATGACGATCATTCCCATACAACCCATGCAGTGCTGTAAAATGTGGGACAACATCATGTTGCTCTGCAGAGTGAGGAAGTCACTAAAAAGTGCACATGCTTTTCCAGAAAGCTCTCCCTGGCTATGTCGACCTGGCATATAAAGCCATCTGAGAGCAGGACTACACCAACAGACAAGCATGGGTATCAACAGAGCCATACATTTAGTCGCAGTGTTCTTCTCTTCATCCCCTCATCTGCTCCTGGACTCCAGGTTAGCAACTTACCCTGTTGAATCACCTTAACTCTGCATGTAAACCACACAGGGCTTGCTCCATTGAAGCATATACAGAAAGTTTAGAGAGATTAGCTGACACTGATGACCCAACTTAGTATTTAAAAGCACGAAGGGTAATGGCTACAAGCACATTTCCCAAGTTTAACATGCCATTCAAGTCTCTCTCTTTCCTCGTGGACAAACTATCTGCTCTTACATACTTTCTTCCCATTAACGTTTCCCTGGTCACCTATAAAAAACTACTCCTCTCAGTACCAATGCACTATAGACCACAAAAAACACAGTTCCTTGATTACACTGTAGTTACAAACTCCAAGCACTGTCTTGCTTACCCTCTACACAGATGCAACTACATAGAAGTCAGATGTCCAAATACAAGTCAGATAAGGGTAAATATTATCCTCAAAAGTAGTTTTATCTAGAGTTCCTGATACAAAGATAGCATCCTTTCTGTTCTGCATAGCGACAGATATCCACCACGTGCGATTCACGCTGTGCTGTGAGGACAGCTGCCTCAAAATCCTATCCAATGCCCACAGCATAACTGCCATATCCATAACAAACTCCCTGTAGCAGCTTCTGCAACTGTTTGCACCAGCATTTCCCAGTCGGGTGTATTCTCACACACTGATGTAAGAAGTAATTGGTAGAGCAAAAAAAGAAGGGGGGAGGGTAACAGTTGCATACTAACTCCCTAAACATAAAATCAGTCTGGTCCTGCATCCAGGTTGGCAGAGCAGCAGGAGAAGTAAAAAGGGAAAGGGATGAATGGTAGAAGTCACTCATGCAGGGACTTCAGGGCAAAATGGCTTGAAAAGCAGTAGTTTACACTGAAAAACAGGTGACTAAATTATGGTTTAGGGAGAGAGACAACGCTAATACAGCTACTGATGTTAACGGAAAAGCCTTCTATTAACTTCAATGTTCTGAACATCTAAAGCCTAAGCTAGCGAAGTGTGAAGTCATAATGCTCACCCTCAAAATAAGAGTGGGTGTATAGCATGCTATGGGGAAAAAGAGCTATATTTGAAATGTCCAAAGAAAGCAGAACCACCAACTATCCCCTAAGAGACACTATTCCTGCAAAGATTTCACTTGTAAACAGTGAGCAGGCTGGCACAGTAACTTCCACTACTACAGAGGATATCAGTTAGCTGAATCTGTAGCTCAACAGGAGGTAAAACGACTTTTCTTGCTGAGAATTGCGGCATCAGCTGCAATAAAGAGACGCTCCTGTGCCTTCCCAAAATTCAAAGAATTTCATCCCCACATACTTTGTCTCATCCTTTGCATCACTTTAAGTACTCTTCAGGTCCAAAGTACCTAATGACCTGAAGTCCATACAAATGTTAGGTGACTCAGCTGGCATACAGAGAAGAGTAGAAACTAAAAGGAAAAGCGTAATATGGTCATTCATTTTTCAACACTGAAAATTACTTGAATTTAATTCTGTCCAAGAGGAACATAAAGCATCATGTAAAGTCTGAATGATAGCAAAAGGATAAATCACTCAAAACAGAATTTTTATCGGCCTACATACTCTGAAAGTTTAAGATGCCCTGTCTAAACACTATCCACTGATAACAAGCAGAACTGGAGAGATGGCAGAAGATTTGGGCCCTTGGATGCTGTTCTCAATATCTTGCATTTGAGGGCTCTGGGCTAGACCAGGACCAGAATCTGCTCCATCCAGGTGCAAAGAGAGCCTCAGCAAGAGCTCCGCTCTCATCCACCAGCTGGTACTCATGCTGGGCAGAGATGGAAGGCACCTAGGGCATATAGGAAGGCACATTTTGAGACTACAGTTTCATAATAAAGAGGGACAATTTAACAACTCGCAGTTACTTCTTGTTGCCCCACTCTCTTCATTGCTCCCAGCCACATGCTCCTGCTGCTTACTTTGAGCCATCTCTGGCGCTCATCTGATCCCTAGTAAGTACGTTCAACTCACTAAAAAGACAAACTCAGCAGAAGAGATACATATCCGACAGGTCAGACACTTGCCCTGGATTACCTTGCAATCAGATACTAGAATCCGGGCTGTGGATGGGGTGGCAGTGCACCAATAGGAACAGGGGAAAAACCTCCCCCTTTCAGCAGTGATGTGCTGTTAAATCAGCTCAGCCAAATGGCGAAACTGTACTCTAGGACACTGACAAGCTGCTTGATGTTTTAAAAGGTCATTAAATGACAGGGGAAAAAAGGTGATTTCAAGAAGTAGGCTTATTTAAATGCAGCCTTCTCAAGAAAACTAGGACTTGGAAAAAGATTGGTGGAATGAACAACAGTAAGACTTGTATAAAGTACCCCTTCCTCTGGAGGATGCTCTTTATATAAAGTGATACTACAAAAGTCTGAAAATACTAGAAACGTACCGTAGTTGGAACCTCTCAAAAGTTTGACAGAAAATGGAATTAACGTCATATTCCACAGACTTCCTACTTATACAGGAAATGTGATCAAACTAGGCAGACATTCTTTGAACAGTACACAGAAGCATCACCAAAAAAAAAAAAAAAAAGAAATTAACAGGTACAGCAGAGAGGAGAAGGCAAGGACAGGTTCTTCCATTATCTAGTTATCACTGCTGAAGTAGCACACACGACACTGACAGTTCAATGGTTTGTGGATTATGATCGCATAAATTTGGTTATTGAGATAGCCATCTCCCCGGTTATTGCTTTTGATATAGTCAGAATAATAAGGAACAGCTTCTTGAGAACATTAGAGCAGCTTAGTTGTACCATCAAACCTCAATTTTAAGATGCATTCTCATGTTAAGCAAGCAGAATCTACGTGCTCTTCAAACAGAAGCCATCAGACTACTACTGAACTGAAATGCTGGACAGTAATTGAACAGAAGAGTTGGAAAGCGGTATTTTCCTGCAAAAGTTGTTTCATACCTTGTATTATGCTTTGGAGTCATTTGTGAATTGAGGACACCAACCTGGCTGATTCTGCCTGATGTAAAATAACATATGTGGATAAAATTAGATTTGAGAAAGTTACTACAGATAGCATGGACTAATTCTGTGCATGCACACAGAGTAACTGAAAAGAGCAGCTATTCTCTTAAGCATTCAGTTGTCTCTCAATTAACAACCATTTCAATATAAAAAATACACTCTGGGCTCCAAACTTTTAGTCCGTATTTATTTAGATGTTATACTTCAGCTAATTTCACAATTCATATACCTGGGCATCACATTACTTGACTTAGGATTATGATTTTAACCTGCTTTTAAAGCTACAGGTCAGCCGTATGGTAACTGAAGCATTATATTTGTAGATTATACTTTGACTAATAGGAACATTAAAACAAAACCCACATGACCTAAATATACTTGACACTTTCAAAAATAAATATAAACAAACTTTTCACTCCTTCACTTGACCCATTAGCTACTTAAACGGAAATATACTTACTGCTCTTTTTCTGGAGCAACCTGTAATCCAAGGCACAGTAAGGTTTCCTGAAATCTGCAGGGGAGGGGAAGGGGAAGGAGAAACAGAACATAAAAAAAAAAAAAAAAAAACAGTTTAGGTCACTGTGATAGCTAACAATACTGAGCAGCTTTCACAAGACTTCAATATTGTACATTCAATTCTGCGAACAACGTGTTTAAGTCAGGGGTTCAGATTTAAAGCAAAATAAAGTCACGCTTAGTCTGATGTAAAAAATCTCTAAGTAAAACTAGAAACGCTGTAGCTCTAGTAATTTTCTTTGGATGACAGTAAGGTAACACCACGGTATCACAGATATTTCTATATTTTTGCTATTTTCAAAATGTTTCGGAATATAAGTTTTCATCTTAAATCCATCACAAAGCAGGTAAAATGAAGCAATTTGGAGTCAAACAAGGGCCAAAGGTTTGACAGAACTGCCATAACATATTTTTCAATTACATCAATGACACTGTCAGAAGAAGTACTAGAATGTCAGTAACAGAACTATTCCATGTCAGACATCACGGATTTGCGCACTAGAGAAAAGAATGTGGGCAGCAGGTTTGGAGAAGGAAGGGGAAGCGAGGTATGTAGGTGAAGGCTAGCTCCCTTGATTCCCCCCATTGCTCTCATAACTCCATCACTCCCAGACATTGGACTTTATTAAATAATAACCCTGTACTGTTTTCCCTGGAGGGATGAAAAGTTCCATGGGCTGGAATATTTAAAGTTTGCTTAGGATTCCACATTCAGCTTCTGTTGCAGACGAGAAATGCTTGAGAGACTAAACAGCTCCCGAGAGATTCATCAATCTCAAGTCATTACACACGCTATACATGCGAGGAAAAAAAGTCCACTCTTCCTGCTAACTATATCAAACTACGCTAATAGTTTTTGTATCTGGCAAGTGCTCAAACAATCAATCATTCAGCATGAACATACCCAAATATAGATGCCTGGTATAGTTTTATCTATTGTACAAGTGCATAAGATACTTTCCTCCTTCGAGCTTTTAACTGAAAGTGCTTGGAAGTTATCTAATTTGGCAAGACACTTTCTCATTTCAGTGCAAGAAGGGTTGAGAGAGAGGAGCGGAAATGAACACCCTCCCCCCAAAAAAGCAAACCCACATCAGCTTTTTTTCTATCATATTCATTTCTCAGTTACACGCAGGCATTTTAGAGACATTAGGTAAATACAAGGGATATCTATTACAATTATATATCCCAGACAACAGCTTTACATGACAGAATCCACTGCAAACACATTCTCAGGAACTACAGAGTTTGCTTTGAAGTTGTTTGGCTGGCAGGGCTTTTTTGTCATTTTGTTTTTTTATTGGATCAGATACTACAGTGGATTATGTTCTTATTCCTCAAGAGACCAATGGATCTGTAGTGGGGCTACAGGAAAAAAACGTGCTAGTCTGTGAACAAAATAATCAAGTCTGGTAAAGCACGAACAGTTACTCGGAAGACAAATGCACGCAGGTTCTGACAGATACGATGCCAAAAACAATGAAGTTTTTCATCAATATAACTATTTGAAAGACAATATACATGGGAATATTTTAAATTGATTCCACAAAAAGCAGCACAAGTTTGTCAGATGGATGGTTCTCCTGCAAAAGCAGAGTTACCAAGACATATCTGCAGGTGTAACACTAGTCCTAGTCCAGCTGGGAAAGCTGCAGTGAGCTGCAAAAACGACAGCCTAAAATCCTTGTCCCAGAAAGGACACTGGTTCCTCCAGGGAAACAGAGACAATAGAGAAACTCCTGCAGATGGATCTTAACTGAAGAGGTTAGACAGTGAGAGGTCCTTACATAACTTTCTCCCTCATTCTTCTGTGGATTCACTACCCTAAATCCAGTGTGCTGCAACACTTCACATGACCCATGTCCTACTCTTGCTTGTCCTTTTTCCTGGAATTACTTGAGGCCATCCGCAGCGCTGCTGCGGCCTGCTGCGGGCAGCCTTCTTCCCCAGGAGCCCCCAGACTCTCCAGGCTCGTGTGACTGCAAGTACGTCACTGCAGAAAAAGCGCAGGCAAGTCCGGCGCCGTAAACGCCGTTACGCTTCTGTTCCGAGACTGAATGTCAGGGCACACTTTGCACGAGCCACTTCAGAGAAAACCACGTTGCTTGCCCTAGCAAAAAGCCTTGCTGCCCCAAGTTAACAACAACATCCTCTTGACTTCAAAATTCTCTAAGAAAGTACAAAAAAAAAATAAAAATCACTTTAACATGTCCCATTTCCTTAAATAAAACAAACTTAAAGTTCATTCACATAAGCCAGGGTCCTTACAGTTAATCTTTAGAAAAAATTATCCTATTCTTCTGCGGTACTGGCTATAAGATCTAGGTTTTTTCCCCAATAAGATATCAGGGCCAAATTGGATAATTCCGTGCTCCAGTGTGCATAACAAAATAAAATAAACACACACACACACAATTGCAACAGCATTTTTGCTCCTTCAGGCTGGGGGGGGGAGGGCAGGAAATAGTAAATCACTATTTAGCCTTGAGGACGCACAACTAGTAAGTATAGTCTCTCTAGTTCAATAAACTTAAAGCCAAATAAAAACAAAAAAGTAGGTTGAGCAACCTGTTTACTGAAACTGCTCAGGCATTAAAATTGATGACTTTATTAAATTTATTCTTCAGTTACATTAATGTGAATTTGATTAATTGAACCAGTAAGGGAGCTAACACTAATTGATAATTAGATACCCCACCAATGTACAACGGTAATTACTTCATCAAAACACAGATCACACATTCCCAACTTTAGAATAGTTAAACATCCAAGCAGATGCTTTTAATGATCATGTAACTCAAGTTCAATTTATTTTTAAATGTAGGAGATTTCCCTAAGTTTAAAGATTTTCATTCTTAGGTTGATGAATAAATTAGTTAAACACAGGCAATAAAAATAACAGGAACTGACTGCATACAAAAGAAGTGCCATCCTGTGCAAGTCTAAAAGAATTCAGGCAGTATCCGAAAAAAGCTTTCTCAAGAAGAAAAAAGAATTAAGATACTTTTAAAGTGTTACAAAATACATGTTTCCATATTGAATATATAAAAACCTATTAAGGAATAATTGAGATATCTGCATGACATACCACTCATACTGGACTCTACCTGTGGGCCACAGAGTCAAAATACAACGAAGGCCTGCATCAGGCACCTGCAAGGCAGGCAGGGAGCTAGGGGAGAGGCAGGGGGGGGGAGGGGGGGGGGGCTTTAGCCATTCTTTCCCCTTTTTCTCCTTTGGAGCGTCTGGGCTGAGCTGTGACTGCCAGGAGTCTGCAAACAGAGAACTACTTGCTCCTGCAAAAAGACAATCACTTCCTGCAAGGGTCAGCTTTCAACGCAGAAGGGGAGCTACTCCTCCACACACAGCTAGAAGGCACCTCGCAGTGGAGCTGTGATCCATCCCAGCACAACTCGGCACAACTCAGGGAGGGATGCGCATCTGCGCCAGCACGGAAGGAAGGCGGGAAGCATCCAGCTGCTTAAGGAGAGAGAACTAAGGAGAGAGGAGGTAAGAGAGTTCAGCACTCAGGGAGGGCAAACCTTCCCAGCACCCTAAACCAAGGCAAGGGAGGAGAGGGGGGCTGAAAGGAGGCCTGACTATCCTTAACTTTAAAGGGAGGATTTGGTGGGGTGGGGATGGTTAAAGTAGCAGAACTCATGACTTTGATAAAATACGTTACCAGCTTATTGGGGTCATTTTTTGCAATGACTCTGAAGGTAGTAGGTGGTGAAAGCGCTTGGAAGTGAATCACTGTCATACACTTACATGTCTTATGACACAGAACTTACTTCTGTATTGTTCTGGAGCGCTCTAGAAACTCTCATCAAGGAATGGCATGATTTGAAGAAATCAGCACTCTGTCCCATCATCAAGATACTGCAGGATCCGTCCAGGCCCTGGGACACTATTCCTCAGCGGTTCCAACCTCTTTATTGTTAGGTTACTATACTCTGAAACTGAAGAGTGCTATCTCAAAGCTTCACAGCGTGGATGCTTACAGCAACAAATGAATTAATAGTGACCCTCACAGTTTTTTTCCAAGGTTTAAAACTGGGGAAGGGCAAGGGGGACCATGGAACACAGCTCTTCCCTCAATCCAAGGTGCATTCCAAAGCCCGTACAACACTTGTGAGAGACAGGCATGGAAGTCAAAAGGAATGCAGAAAAAAATCTGCTTTTCAAAAACATATACACTGTTTTAACAGTGGCGGTGAGCGGGAAGAGTTATATGGATCTGCTTACTCTGATCCATATCACTCCACAAGTGATAAAGTGATAAAAAGTGTCACATACCATGGACCATTCTAGCTATTTAAAAAGATTCAATCCCCACCCCACCCCACCCCCCAAAAATTCCAAAACTGGAGTTACTTCAAACTTCATTAAAAATTCAAAAAATTAGCAAGAAATACATCTCAGTGGTGCTTTGTCAAGAGTGAAACAATGTACCAAGAGCACACAGCTGGAGGTATCAATAATACATATCGTTATGTGAAACTTAAGAAGTTTTTAAAAAACTATTATATGCACTTCTGCAGCTTTACCAGCCCATTACTGAACAGATGTATATATTTACAGCTTTTCTTCACCTATGAAACTGGAATTTCAAAAGTAAGCAGCATTTAATCAATTTTGTAACTCAAATAGGAACAGTTATAGCAAACACTGACAGACCATCCCAGAGGAGAGGGGAGAAAGGAAGAAAATAGCTTGCCCAAAGTACTCAAATAGCTTGGGAGAGGCTACAAATACAAATTGCAGATGTTCTATAAACTACAAAAAAATCTACCCTAGATCTACGGGGTCTTAAGATTTCAGGTTTGACAAGAAAAAAAAATCCTGGCGATTTCTGGTGAAAAGCGCCATTTACTCGGACTCAAAAGCTTTGTTTCAAATCCCCACATGAGACAGGAACAGGTCAGAAAAAAAAAAAACAAAAACTACTTCATTAAGTACTGTCCCTTACACTAGTGAGCAATACACAGAAAAAAGGAGATGTCATTTGAATATTTCACCCTCAGGATAAGTTTCCCCTCAAAGAGGAAGCAAAAGGCAAAAGCACTAAAGGTAACACAGGTAACACTGTATCATGTCAGTCTTCAGACTTCTATCTCGCTGTCCCTAGACTATATGTCATGACAGAAGGCACAAAGAAAAAAAATCCATGAAAAGATCAATTTGGATGTTTCCTGCACAATTATCTCTCCTCTAGTTTAAAACAAACAAATCTGTAAGTGTCTCAGTGCTCTAACTGCCTCGGAACATCTTCAGTTCTTCAGTTATTTGCATTTAATTTTCCCCTCTCAACACCACTAACGGGACTCTGTTACAGGATGAGGAATAATGAGATTGAATTTAAGACCAATACTTGAGTTAGATGCTGCGGGAGGGGAAGAGTATCTCTTCACCTAGTGCCTGCCATCATCTTATCTAGCTTGCAGGAGATACTAATCTCTAACAGAAGAACAGGACCCAGAGACCAGAGACTGCAGAATGGGTATAGGTAGTGCTGCTAAAGAACTAATCCAAGATGAAATCAATAAGGGCTAGCAACAGTGAGGGACACAAACATTACTGCATGATCCTATGTTTTGCCCTGTGCCACATGCAAAAGCACATCTACAGAGGAAGGAACAACCAAGGGCATGAAACTGTGACATGCATTGGCAAGTCAAGTAAGGACAAAGACTTCAGCATGCATCAGTAGTCATACACGTGATCCTTCTGTAACCAAAGTATATCGTATCCATAAAGCCCACGCTGATCTTCAATATATGGCTACCCATGGTAGCCAAAGGCTCAGCTACACAGATACGGAGTACTACTACACCACAGCCCTAAGGCTGTATTTCACTTTTAAGTGAGGTACTAAAGTGAAATTGTACTTCACTTTTGTTTAAGAAAGTATTACCTCTGCTGAAAGATGTAAACAGAAGACAGCCTGCAGAAATATGAACCTATCACTTATTAGTTTCCAGCTTTCAAAAGAAAATAGTACTTATCTATGACCTTGTCTTCAAGATTTGAAGACCGAGATAAATTGACAGATTACCTGGTAATTATTTTGGTTTTGTGACAGCCTCAGTTGACTTGAAGATGTAAAATGAGGAGAAAAAGTACTTCTTGATGGATTAGCACTGTTATATAACGTACTGGATGCTGTATGTAATGAGGTCCGTGCAGGCAAGTGGTAGTCTCTGTTATGATACAACATATTGTCAGGCACGTCCCTGGCATTCACCATGTGTGAACTACAACTCACATTTCTTCCCGGCCCAGACAAAGCTGCACTTTGGTTCTCTGCTCGAACAGAACTGTTACTTTCACAGTATCTTGAATAGCTTTGTATTTGTGCTCCCATGGATGCTAGTTCTTCTTCTCTAGCATACTCATCATCAACATCTCCCGTTTCCATTGCAATGGATAGACAGCTGCCTTCCACTGAACAATGCTTCTGTGTTGTACTTCCTCCCACAGTTCTCTGCGGTTGATCTGTCACGGCCAGAGAAAACACCTCACGAATTTCCAGGTTTTGGGTGCTACAAGAAGGATCCCTAGTATTAGCCCTTTGTGCAAGGGGCACATGTGATGCAAGAGCTGCATGTTCTGTTTTTTGTAACCTTTGACATCCCACGGGTTCAGCTTTACATGGTCTGTGGCATATCATTGGCTTTTGAGGTAACACCAACTCTGCAGTCTGGACTGATGAGCCACCATAACTTTTTTTAGTGTGACTATATATGGAGTTCGCAGAATTCAGTACGCTTGTTTGCCTAGATAAAATAATAGTCTTTTCCCCTACTAATAGGGAAGCGTTTTTACAGTGTGGTACTTGTCGTCCTATAGGGATATGCTGCTGCTGAAATTCTGTATCACTTTTTCCTGGCAGTCTTGAAATAGAGTTTTTATGTATTTCTGCCACTGAAGTATTTGTCTGTTTGGTGGATCCTTGCCTACTAGATGAACTAGCAGGACCGTATATACCAGTAACTATTACATCGTTATTAGAAGAGGTCCAAGAAGACTGCTGACTTTGGGATCGAGCAATATTTACCACATTTCTAACTGCTGCTTCTGGAGGTACTGAGGGTGTAGTAGGGACAGTCCCTGGAGGAGTGCCTCCAGACTCTACAGCATTCTTGCTGCTCATCTTCCTTCTTTTATTGCCAACCCACGTCTGCAAACAACAAACAACAACAAACACAAAACAAAGCATTAAATAGGCAGAAAAATCATAATTTCATTTTTAAGCAGATCTGATGAAACCTTAAGTGTTCACGTTGAGACATAAGTTTATGAGTATGAAGATCGTTTACTGATTATGCAGAGTCAGTACAATACAGGGTGGAAATCCAGGGCTCATATTCTTTGGGATTCATACTGTAGTACAGATGAAAATCCCAGTCTCAATTCCAAGTCTCCAGTTTCTCAGCAACCCTATGAGATTGCGTCATGCCTCCTATACCAAAGTTAAGACTTATTTTATCAGCCCCCCTATGCCTAATTCTCCTCAAATTCCAGTTTTTATATTTAGCACCGTGTGATGCAAAATCATCCTTGAGATATATAGCTAAACTTTCGTAATCGAGTAGCTGCCAGATATGACCTTCAAAATTGCCTTGAACAGAAACTGTTAACTCCTGGATGCAAGCTGGGTGGAAAGAAGAAAAGAACAGGAACATCCTTCTGCGGGAAAACGTGAAAACAGTTTTGTTAAGTGTTTAAAGCTATGGACTAGTTCCTCCTCCACCACTGGCCCAAATCAGCATCAGGTGCTTTTGACAGACACTGATAGACAAAATCAGGACTAGTGGGATTAGGGTCAAACAGAAGTTTGCCATTATGGCACTGAAAGTGACAAAGATAACATATGGATTTGTGTAAAAGACAGTACTTACATTTTTCAAATAGGTATTTTTTCTACTGTGACAGTTACGCACAAGATAGAATGGACTGCTATTTCAAACACACAGGAAAGTCTGTCCTGCAAGTAATGAATTAAGATATAGCTAAAGGAACTTATTGGGAAACATAACTTCAGTGTTTCGAGATAAAGAGCTATTAATTCTCTGCGAACACTAGCTCTAATACTGAAAGTGGAAGCAACACCTAGACTTTTCCTGGGAACTTTCATGATCAGCAAGACAGGACTTGCTGAACTCCTTCACGGCAGTATGTTTGTGTGGAAAGTGAGTGCATAAGTGAGCAGGACACGAGTGCCAAAGAACTGAAAATAAGCATTTGCATCTGCTTATGCTGGTTACTGAAAAGAATCAGACATACATGACTGCATATATAGATATGATGAAACTGTTTTCTGTACCACTCTGGATACCATGTGCTGCACACCTAAAAACAAACCAAAGCAAGATCTCAGCATTTAGCAAACCGAAATGGTTTATTTAATCCTGGCCCCCCCCAACCCCAAACCAAGCAAACTGTACTGAGTAACTACCTTGGGTTTTCATCTCATCATGTGAAAGAAGTTAAACTTTCTTCACATACTGAACTCATTTAAGATTTAAATACATATTCTACAGCAAAACACTTATGCCTACCATACAGGAGTAGGTTGAAGTCTCCAGCCCATTCTACTCATTTTTGTTGTCAAATTTTATAAAATGCCTAACTTAAAGCATGATATATTGCATGCAATAACCTCTCAGTAACCAGTGATAAAATTTATTTTTCTTCTCAAAAGCAAACTTAGATACACAAATTATAACACATATGATTAACCACAATTCTTGTTATTTTTCCTTCACTGTATACAAAAATTTAGAAGAAACCTCTTTCTTCCTTATTTCTTCTCAGTCAATAAGCTTTCAAGTTAGAAACAATAATTAAAGCAAAGATTTCCCCCCCCCCCCAACTTCTGCTAAGTAGAAAACTAAAAGCTAAGGCTTTTCTCTTGGTTTTCCTGAAAAGAAATGTAGTCAAAGAAATGCAAATAACTTAATAGCACTGCTACTCACTTGGGATTAAAATACAGTTTCATAAGACAACCTGAGTCAGACTTGTCGCTAGTGAGAGTCCCTTTCCCCTGACTGCCTCCCCAGCTTCTTGCTCCCACCTCTTCACTAAAAGCAGCTAGGATTCCCACCTGACTGATCAGTGAGCACAACTCACCAACGTGGCATAAAACTGAACTGGATTTAAAAAAAAAAGTTTTGATCAGGTTAGCAAATCAAACTGGGTTGCTCTGAAATTAAATGAATGCAAAAGACGCTCAGTACAAGAAAGAAAGGGAAAGAACTGCACAGCTGGGAGACGGGAAAAAGTACAAAATCTCCCCCTTTTAGCACTGTGAGAGAGTACGGTAGAGAAGAGTTATGTAAAACTATGCCCTTAGACTGAAAGGGAAGCTCCAGTTTGTCAACAGCCTGACAATCAGAGCATGCATTAATTTGGGATGTGACTGAGCAGTCATTAAGCACAAAATATCCATAGAAGGAGGGACATGACTGTTTCAAGCAAGTGCTAAACTAATACATTTTGGAAATGGTCTCTCTTCACTGGAAGTGTTACTGAAATTGTTATTTATGAGAAAAAGAAACTCCTAGAAGAGACAACAAATCAGAAATTCAATTCGTAAGAAAATTACCTGGGATTTAGATCTTGGTTTTATGTTCCCAGCTTGAATCAGGCAGAGAAGGACCTTCAGTCTCTCCTACAATCTAGATACACACCATTAAAGTGGCTTTCAGTGGTTCTTGGCCATTAATTTTGACCAAAAGTTCCATCTGAAAATAAGATTTCCTCAGGAAATCTTTCAAGAGATGTGAAAGAGTAATGAAGGTGTAAACATTCTGACAGCTACTGTTGTATGGGGGGAGGGACCCTCACAACACCTCCCAGATCAGCAACTCTCCCTACTCAGCAACACTAACTACAAAATCAGACTTGCAGAACTCTGCGCTTTACCAAAATACAATGCTCACATTTCATGCGAGGATAAAAAGAAACAGTTTACGCTGATATTAAATCATTTAAAATAGGCTGTTCAAGTCCTACATAGTTCAAATCCATCTATCTTATGAAGAGGCTTAGGGATTTTCCCTTGCAGTAACTCTTCTGTGTTTCCCAGTTTTGGGAGGGACGTTTCATTTTGTCGCAGCAATAAAATCTGTAGAGTTTACACCAAATCATAAATAAGACTTCTTTCCAACTCAGTTCAAGATTAGAAAGACTGTACACAGTTCTATGGGATAAGGCTTTAGAAATCCTGATTCAGAGAAAGAATATATTTGTGTTTCCACTACTGTCAGTATCTACCAGTGCTATCTGTGACTCAGGTATCATTTTGCTAGACACAGTGCAAAGTAGACTAGCCCTTGCTCAAAACTTTAACAGCAAAAAGCAAAAAATGGGGGAAGGGAGGGAAACAGGAGAAGCAAAAAGGAGGAGCGTGAGGAAGAAAAAGGTAAGATCATATTAAAAAAAAAAAAAAAAAAAAGAGAAAAACAAAAAAAAAAAAAAAAAAAAAAAAGGCAAATGCAGGCCAAACGGTGGCTCTGCTGCCATTACGCTTCATAATAAGAAGAAAGTTTAAGTTTTGCAAAGAAGAAAATAAGAAAGATAAGAAAGTAAAGGAAGAAAACTAAAGAGAAAGTGTTATCACATATTACTGCAGTAAGGGAAATAGAGAAGGAAAAGGAGATACAGAGAGTGAATGAGGACTGCAGTAGAGGAGGGACTGGCTGCCTGCTCCAGCTCCTTCAATCAGTATAAGAATAGAAGAAGAATCGTCCCTGACAGCATCACCAGTATCCAGATCACAACCGTTTACCCCTTCTAGAGCTTTTGAATTTCTGGCTGGCTTTCAGAGCTTCCTACCATCCTGAGTTGAGAAAATAAGCGCTTTATATTTTTAGAGTATGACGAGGGAGGGGAATCGAGGGGAATCCAGGTAAGAGTTAGGGAGCAAGGAGAGGTTCTTTCCTTTAGTTATGCATCAATGGCATAGTGAAAATAACCAGACAGGTTTTACTTCTTCCTCTTCACTGTCCAGTGTTGCAGTAACTCCTACTAGCCTCACTACCGTTGTTATTCTTCCAGCTAATGCTTCGTGATTTCTATTTCTGCTCCGAGACAGCAGCCATTTTGTTGTCTAGTGTTTCACAAAGGGATTATTATTTCCCTTCCTATGGGATTCATAGACTTTGGAAGAGATCCTGTTAGCACTACAACATTCTTCATTTATAAGAAAAGAACGTACTCACTGTAAATAACCATGAGTAACCATAGTATTTATGTTTTCAACAAGGAATACAAACGTGACAAAGCATGTTAGAAGAAGTACCTTTCTTTGATACAATACACTGCACAAGTTTTGCATTGAACAATCCTATTTGCAATTTAATTTTAAAAACCAACAAACAAAAAAGTCACTCTTTGTGCAATATCCAGGCCCCTGCTAAATGCAGCAATTATGTGAAGACATTTAAATGAAAACAAACTATAAACAGGCTCACTGGATAAAAATGGACATGTCATACAGCATACTGAAGTCTGTTTTTAAAGACAAGTATGAAGTTAGAGACTCCAGCCCTCTACAGATATTTTATGTAAAGAAATGAATGTGTATAACTTTAACATATACATTTGGAAGGCCTTAGTACTTACCCTGACTACACTGAAGTCCAGTTTAGTTTCTTGTGCACACTGTAATATGAGCTGAAAGCAATTTTTACTTTGATTTGTCATTCCATTTTCATAATAACGCTGTAATATCCTTTGTTGTTCTACAGTAAATACAGAACGCAGATTCATCTAAAAATAAAAGAAGATACTCTGAAAGTTGGAATAAAAACTGTAATATTTGTAGAACGTACAGGCTCTCATTTATGCTTGCTGTGATAGTGCTAAGTGTTGACTTTTTTTTTTTTTTTAAAAGGAATCCTATATCAATACTTTTACTTACTTTTCAAAAAACTGTTACAGACAGCATTAATGATTCCTTTGTGATGGATTCGAGTTGAATAAGTGAACTACATGTTTGGAATAACACTGCCAGCCTTTCGTAAATAAGTATTACATTGTGTTGCTAAGTCCAAGAGCCTCTAGTTCCTGACAAAGTTTCTCCCTTTAAAAAAGCATTAGGCAAAACAGAGTAACATCAGATGCTGCAACAATACTGGCAGGTTTGTTTACCCTCCCCCACAAGAAAAAAGATAAAATCTGAAATAAAAAACGAGGTCACAGTTTGACACAAGTAAAATCTGCACCGCCTCTGACTTCAGCAAACTCTACGCTCCATTACTGGCTGGTCATTCCTATTCCTTCTGCTGTGTCAGCACTGGCACTTTGCAGCTGGAATGACAGAAAGACCAAGGACCAATACTGAAGGCCAGCTAGTGGGGGTAGGTTTAGCCAGTTTTGGTCCTTCCCACTGCAGTGCAAACGCACTAACACAAAGGAGGGGATGGGATGGACCACCCAAATCACAGCCTGTGTTTAGAAAGGTTAAAATTACTGGGAAGCTGCACCCTAAGGCTATAAATTAGGTCTGTTAAGAAACACTTAAAGGTTGTTTTACAGCACTATAAGCCAACGTCGGCTACTGAACCCAGCCCCTAGCCCCAGACCTCATGAAGTGTTCTTGGCCTCTTTCCTTTGTCCAGAGCTGCACTGACTTTTTCAGCATGCTAAACCAGAATCAAAAGACCCACACTCCTTCCATTGCTAACAGCAGCTCAGCAGGGTGAAGTGTTCTGTTTCAGCATGCCAAAACAGCTCATCAAAAGGTCCCCTGGCAGTGCCGCTCGCAGGAGAAGTTCTCCTCCCTGCTTCCTCCCACGAACCACCTCTTGTGCCCACACAGCTGCTGCTGCACACCAATGGCAACTCACGTCAGGACACAGACCAGGCTAAAAGAGGGACCCCTCACCTCTGAAGGAGCAAGGTGTCCAGGCGGCCGGTGTCCCAGCCAGGCTCAGTGCATGACTGCTCCAGTCGTGTGGCAGAGCAGTGCTCGAGGTTGACGCGGCCAAAGCAGCCTTTCAGCAGCAGTTTGCTGAACAAGTTAAAGCAGCTACAGCCTTATTACCCCGCGAAAATTCATGCCTAAGACTGGAAAGGGTAGACAGCTGAACATTACTAAGTACAAACAAACTACTACAGGAGAGATTCCTTGATGGCAAACTTAGAATGTAAGGTCTGGTTATATACTCCACACAGGAAAATTACATATAATTCTCTGGTTATACCATTACCAGTTAATGCTACCAAAACCAATAAGAAACGCCCCATCACCACAGGACTTCCAGAATGGGGCCTTTGTCTTGTCCTAAACAGGAGGCTGCTAGCTGAGACAAAAGGAGCTACTGTCCAGTAACAATTTGCATCTGACTTTGTGCTTCAGAAAGAAACAAAAGAAAAACAAACAGCCACAAGTTATCGTTAATGCTTTCAGTATAAGCGTCAAAATAACGCAGAACAAACTAAAGAATAAGAAACCCTACTACTACCTGGCAGAAAAATAAAGGGAGTGGAGAAACGCTCTGTAGCCACCAAACTTTTACTCACTGTTTCTGGGAACTTGGAATGGAAAGGTGGACAGTAGAAATATACACTAATGTTGAGTCTATCTCGAATTTGTATTAAAGTCCAGAGCTTTCATTCCAGAGTTTACTGTCCTCCATGGATCAATAAATAATAGAAAATAACTAAATAATAAACTTGTAAAAGTTACTATTTTCTTTTCAGTAATACTTAAAGATGATTTTTCAACAACATTTTTACCTCTGCTCCCAATTCTTATTCCACACTCTCAGTTTAGTGCACTGTTAAAGAAAAATCCACCAGATTTATTACAACCTCTGATTTACACATCCCACAGAATCCATATTGTGCCACAGTCTGAAAGCTGGGCAAAAGAGACCCTCTTCCTCTCAATACTGTGTAAAGGCATTTGTAACAAGCTACAGAGAAGACAATTACTAACCCATTAACAAATCAATAAAGTTCATAAAAATCTACTTTATAAAGTTAGGAATAGTCTTCAGATGTCCCATATGGATAAGTGGATGCAGTTATCAACTGATTTATGTTACTTTTAAAGACTACATTAGAGTTAATTCTGCAATTTTTTCCTCACAACCGGCAGGGTCCAGCTCACAATTCTGTGCCTACGACTCTTTCAGTATCAGCGGTCCCCTTTCATTCAGCTGAGATCAGAACCCACAAATGACCTGGTACGACAGTTGTCAGAAATATTTATACGCTTATCTTTCCAGATCCAGAAAATGAGGCTTGTCATCCCATAGCATTACCATACATGGGCTCATTAAAAAGAAATATGTTCTCCAAACAGTTCAACAACTGATCAACTGCAAGACAACACAGACCCCTCCAACTGCACAACAACATTTTGGAATCTGACCTGATGATCTGCAAATGAAGAAGTATGTCAGGTCCTTGACACTTTTTTAATTATGCGGTAGAGATTTGGATTTCTGTATCCAAACTCATCTCTGCATTAAAATATTTTCATTCTTGTATTCAAAGTCTTTAGTTTAGGTAAGGACACAGTGAAGTACTAACGTTTGTTTGAAGATTAAGAGATTTACTTCATCTACATGCACTGCATGACAGACCTCGCCTAGCTAAACTCAAGAGAGGTCATAATCTGGCTCAATAAACATTTCATTTTTGCAGTTTCTCTTCATCACTTAGAAACTGCATCCACCCGTCAGAATTACTGTTAGACTCCTTAGCTCCTTTTACTTTCAAGTCTGACCAAGTACAGTTCAACAGTTATCTGTGCAGAGGCCATCAGAAATGGATTGAAATAAAGACACTGCAGACCCCTACCAATGCAGAACTATTGGAACTGGGCCATAACTTTTGAGTTTAGAATGCAAACTCAACTTTGAAATAAGCAGGTAAACATTACTTTATTAATGCTTTTTGTATTTGAGGTATATTGAATCCTAAGTCAATATATAGCTCTGCACCATTTCCCGCTGCCCCACCTATCCACACACATTTACCAAAATTACCGAAGGGACATTAAATTGATCTTATTTACAGTACCAACTGACAATAAATATCATTAGTTAACTCATTCCGTAAATCAATTTTATCCATACTGCTCTGCCCACTGATTGACCCATATTTTTTAGAAGTGTCTTTTACTGGAGGCAAGAGAAATTTAGGTTTAAATAGCAGAATAATCCAAAAAATGCACATAAGGCTCAGCGGGACTATCCAGGCAGTTATAACTGCCCAACAGAATACTCAGTCCAAATTCTACTTAAAATGTTAACCTCAAAGAAAACTAGCAATTGGGTACCAAGAGAACTGTCACAGCAAACCTTCTGTTGCATCCTAAAATATTCTGAACTACACTACCATTAGTTGGTATAACACACTATTAAAAAGTAAATGTTAAGCACTAGATTGAGTGCAAAGATTAGATAACTCAAGATACAGCACTGAATAAAGTCCAAAGAAAAAGCACCCTCCCACCTCACACAGAGAAACTACAGGATATTTTTTGCTATACGGATTGCAGATGTAGCAAAATCTCACAAGACAATCTATTCAGAGGTAGGCAGGAAATATGACTTCTCATGAAGATCTTCTGTTACACAGAAGAAGAAAGGAAATTGGGAATCACCTTAGTTTCAGCTCATACGCTATGTTTTTCTGTTTCGTTGTTTGTTTTGGGGTTTGTGTTTTGGCAATTGTCTACTTAGTAATTTATGACTAGGAATAGAAGATCAGAAGATTGTTACCAGTATTTCTAATAGTAGTGGTAATCGCCGAGTATTCAATCTTAATACCACAGGACCAGGACAAAACAATAACTGGCACACTGACTTGACAAAAGTACACAGGAGATTTAGCAACAACCCTTGTCTTCCAGGTTAAATAAACCCTGGCAGTACAACATCTGTAAAGCCTAGACAGACATCAGTTTGCTACCAGATTCACTTGTGTTCAAATTTCAGAACCCTATAAATCATAGCAGAGTTCTGAAGCGCTTACATAGAATATCTAAAGCAGTACCCTATGTGGAGTAAAGCCATTACTGAATGTTTAGAAATTTCATTAACAAGCCACACAAACTCCAAAACCATCATATCAATTCATGAAGCATTGCCTCAACACATCCCACATTTACAGACAGAAATTTTGCTTACTCTTCCATACCTGTCAGACCTAGCAATTTATCTACATTAAGTACAATAAGCACTCAAGCATCTACAAGAGCAAAATTTTACCGTCTTTGAGATTATAATCATCCTGGGTATCTTTATCAAAGTGTTACATTGATTTTTTTTGAGAAATGTTATTTAGCAACAATTTCCATAGTTAGAACACAATATTAACATTTAAATTTTCTTTTAACATGTGAGACTCTTGACAGTCAGTGGATATTGACAGCGGAAACATACGCAAACTAGAGTCCAAGTGATGATGTTACAACGTAGCAATGTAGCTACATTAGTATCAAGACAATCACCAGTTAACACACGTTCATAATGAACTCAGTATTTTTCAGAAGTCTTAGTAACTTCAGAGAAAAATCAATGTTTCTTCCCAATTTGTGTACCTATGAAGTAATCTACTTTCTTCAGGATTTCTCACCTTTATCTTGAACCTCAAAGTTAGAAAGCCACTTGTATTTTTGTCATAATTTAATTTTAACCTTGTCTTGACAAGCTCAGAAAGCATGCATTTAAACATGATTTCAAGAAACCAGATGTCCAGCTGGTGGACAACACACTGAAACTGAAAAGAGTTTGTTACAGAAAGAA